ATTTTTTTCAATTTTTAAGGGTAATGTCTTCAACTAGATACGATTTGTGATCTTTTGACGTATTTTTGAAAGAAATCGGTCCAGTGAGAGCTGAGAAAAAGTGGCAACAGACATAAAAAAAAAAAAAAACACATCATAGTAAAATTAATACCTTCTCCGCTTCGCATCGAAGCTAAAATAATTTTAGCAATGCTATAAACGAAAAAAGTATTAGTGTACATTCATTTTATGGCATCACCATTTTGTCAATATTGCGTTTTACTATTATTATTTTGTGTAATAAAAGCTCGATCACGAAGATTTATGATTGACTGCCGCTTATTTCTATAAATGTCTTAAATTTAAAGTATCCGTTAGATATCAACACTTATTGTTTTATACCTTATTATTATTTCAAGAATTATATAACTTCCTCTAGTCTGTTATTATTTTTGTTCGTTAGCATATGTAAAGTTTATCGTGTGTTGTCTTTATTACACTCGGCCGGAAATAATTAAAGAGTTAAATTTTCATTCCATTTGTTTTAAATATAGCCATTTCTTTTCATAGTTTTTCATTACGTTTGGAAAATTAAAAATTGTTTTATAAAATTCCGTATGAAAAATAAAAAAAAATGTGTTATAAAATATTTTTTAAAAAGATTTTTAAAATAACCAGTACAAATTATTACTATTGCCAATTTTATGTTACTCGTTAAAAAATAATCTATCTACTATATAATATTACTTCAACTAATATTTTATAAATTGTATAACTCAAATACAATTAAAAATATTTATACTAATATAGACGAAACTAGATATTTTTAGATTAAACGTGGTATTTAGGTATACCTTTTCAGTAAGCATAGAGTTTTTTTTATAGATAGATTTTCTTGCTACCGTGGTAGATAGGAAAATATATGTAAGAGAGATTTTTACTATCCCACCTAATTAAAGTGTAATTTTATATTTAGTATACACAACACAGATATTTTCACTTTAGATGATTTTGATCTCTACCGGTATATGTCAGTACATACCCCGGTATGTCTTCACATATAAATTAAAATACCAGGGGGGTAATTGTGAAGAAGTTATTTATCAGCAATTGATTTTTATTCATTAGAATGAATATTAAAGTTACCTTAATAATGAATGTGTTAAAACTTTCATGGATTGTTTTGTTGCTTGAAGTGCTTGAGGATATATCCATGTTTACAGTTGAGTTCTGACGTTTCGGACTCATTGCAGAGTCCATCTTCAGAGTGATGGTTGCTAGTCGGTGGCTGCAACTATACTGAGTATAGTTACCTTAATAATGTTAACATTTCTAATAAAAAATATTAAAATAAAGTAATAATTAATCACTTGTGGCTAATATTATTTGAAATTAAAAATATGTATAAAATATTAATTTAAAACTAAAAAATATTTAACTTTAAGAGGTACAAAAAAAAATATTTAAAAAATCGCATATTCACATTATGGAAACAATGTTACCATCATCATGTTAATATTTTTAATACATTCTTAATTTTAAAAAAAATATGTTATTTAGAATCAAATTTTAAATTAGTATTATTAATCTAAAATCTATATTTTTAAATTGTTACTTAATATTATTTTTTTTTTATAAAATAGTATGATATAATTATTTGTTTATTGAATATATACTTTAGTTTATTAGAAAGTTTTGAAATTATTATTTTTGATTATTAATTAATTAGTTCTTAATTATTTAACTTAATTTCCAAAGTTTAAAAATAAGACATGAACTTTTTAAAAGTATGGACTTTATTAATTAACTTTATCATAAAATATTGTGTAAAATATTATATAATAATAGAAATTGAATAGTATTTTTTGTATTGTACAAATCATAATTTTAGTGATTATTTTATTTATTTTACAGGTCAAATTATGGCAAGAGTCATTGACAAGTACTGATGTTTCTGGTGTAGAAACAGATAATGAAATTAATGAACATTCTCCTCACTCATGTTCTATATCATTTAATGATTTATCCCTGAGCTCATTAGAAATATCTCCAGTTACTAGTCAGTATCCAAAAAAGCAAGAAAGTCGTAGTGATTCATCTGGTTGTGGAATGTCTTCTACAAGATTGTCTAAAGAAAATACATTAATAAGTGGTGTTAATGTGGTTGTTAATGATAATAAAGATTATCATTCTACAAGACTTTGTCACATAGAAAATGTAAAGCCTTCATCTTCATCAACCCCCATTAAATCTATTTCATATTCTTCTATTTTTAAAGACTCTAACAAAATAGAAAATAAAAAGATTGATGCCCCACAAAAACGTTGTTCAAATAAAAAACTTAGAAAAACGGTAACTATTTAAAAGTCTTATTATATATTATATAATAAATGTTGTCAATTGCCATAAAACCAAAGGTTTTTTTTAACAAAAAAAAAGTTATAATAATAATTGAATCACTTTTTTTTGTTATAAATTAAAAAATAATTTCTATTTTTATTACAGAAGTCAAAAAATACAGATTGTGAATGCACTTCAGAAACTGATGAATTTATGGGTCAATTTAAACATTGTATCGGTGTTATTAATGGTGTAGTTAGTAAAATGGAACAAAGTTTTAAGACACAAAGATAAACTAATATATGACTATTTATAAGATATTGCAAAGGCGTTTATTTATCTATTTAATGTTATATTTATAACAATTTAATTTGTTTATATTTTTACTCTAAATTTTTCCTCCAATTAAAAATTATACTTTGTTAAAATTTATATTTATTATTTATGTGTGTGTTGCCACTGAAATTTGTTTCAAACGAAAATTATTTAACATTCAATTTGTACCGATAATAATGTAGTTATTTAGTAATATTAGACGAAAATAATATTAGAATATAAAATCTAGTATTTGATTTTTAAGCTTAGCTAAAAAATTGTGATGAATGTATATTGTTTTCAATATTTATTTATTGTTTTGTATTATATTAAACAATTTCATAATTTATGCAGAACATATGAACTATTTTTTTTTTTTTTTTT